TACTACTTGTACTTAAGCATTTCGCAATTTATCCCGCCGAAAGTTTTAATTAATAAAACATTACGCGCCGGGGATTGCAATGCCTATGCTTGATAAACGAATTTCGCCGATCCGCGAGAGTGTTTCCGATTAAACTGCAGTTGCCGAGTTTCGCATCGGTGCGACTGTGAACGCGAATCCGCATTACTTATGTACCTACGCGAATAAAACGATGTCACCGGAGAAATATTATTTTCTTTCATGTTACGCTGATCCCTCTTGAAATGCCTGTCTCGTCCATTACTCCTTACTTTTCATTGCACCACTGCTCTCCCTTCAGCCGTCTCGTTTCTCATACATTTCTCTTGTTCGTTCGCAACCGCAATATGAAATGGATCGGGGTCTGGTTGTCAATGCGAGAGGAAAAAAAAAGAAACGGGGAAAGTACAAAGGAGTAAAAACATCGGGTAATACCTCGAACTATCCGGGGGACCTGCGGTACGGAGAGACGGGGGGAGCAACGTGAGATAAGCCGCGCGTTTATTGCCCCTCCGGTGTAATTTTCTTAAGAATCTGACGCAGCTCGCGCACGCGTTTACTCCTGCAATTTACGCGTACGGGCGTTCGCACGAATCGACCCGTGCACACGCCCGCCGCCCCGTAGTACATGCGCTTGAATGCGCGCACGCATGCACGCACGCGAGCACGCACGAGCGTGGAAACGAAGCCGATATGCGAACGGAGCGAAGAGGGATGCAGAAAGAGAGAGGGCGAGGAGAGAGAGAGAGAGAGGGCGAGGAGAGAGAGAGAAAGAGAGAGAGGGGGGAGAGGGAGAGGGAGAGAGAGGCGCACATACTATACGATCTCTCGCCTCCGTAAGCGCTTCTGTCAACTGTACGTCGCTACCGGGGTGCACAGCCGCATTGCTCGCGCGCTGCAGTCAGCCTCCGCGAGCCCTCCTCCTCCCGCGCCGCACGTCTATCCCCGCGCCATCGGTCGTACCTGCAGTCGCAGCCACCACGGCGCGATTGTGTGTTCCGCGGTGCATGCCGTTTGTCACCATTCAAGACGGTGACGCCGAATGCCGAGCGAGTTTCGCCACGAGTCGACGGCGAGAGGATTCTCCATCGAGGTCTCCCGGGGGTGGCGATGGTGGTAGAAGGAGGAGCGGGAGGGAGAGCGAGCGGGACGCCCGCGCGCGTTTGCGGGAGACGCCACACGCCGCTACGGCGGCCGATGGTTGTTTCGAAAAAATTTCGGGCGACGGCTGTTTTTTTTTATTTTTTATTTTTTTTTTTTTGGAAAAATTGCGAAATGCGCGCGTAATTGTTTTAACGGGGACGCGTTATAATGAATACGTAAAACATACATCTGTACGCCCGATAGATTTGCGCATGCTCGTCCATTTGCACGTGCGTACGCCGATAAACGCATTCGTCGACACTATCATTCTTATGCCACATTCCCTTTATTGTTTAAATTTTTATTAGATACTATTGCACCTTTCGTCCGAATTGTAGGACGCGGTTTCGACTCTATTTTATCACTCTCCCTGTTATAATTTGGATTACATAGTCTGAAAAGAAGGCGAATCGTTAATGGAATTAAGTAAATCGAGATAATCAGGTCCTACGTCTTTCTTTTTATACGCGGCTATTACCATAAATCTGCATTTTAAATGCAGGTTTGAATGTAGGAAAATTAAGCTCGCGATGGGAAAGTGAAGTTTGCGAATTGTGTGAGCACGTTCCGACAATTATGCTTACGAAAAAAAAATATATATATATATCCCGCTCATTTGTAGTAATTCGACGTAATAAAATAATCTCTAACAAAATATTGGCAATGACGTACGCGACGTCGAGAAATTCTTTGACTAATTTAGGGAACGAGTTTTCCCGAGCGAAGACCTGATTGGACGCTCTCTAAGAGTCAATCAGTGGATCATCACCGCAAATCGCAGTGGTATATTTACAACTACGAATCAGTGACTATTAATTGTTTTCGACGTTTACAGAGCATGACGTTTCCTCGGATGCAGAGACGCATCCTCAGAAAGAATTTCTGTTACCGAGACAAAAATGTTCCTGACGCATTTATATTTCTCATAACCTCATAGTATAAAAATAAGACGGTATCAAATTAAAATCAATAATTCTTATTCTCCTCTAGCGAATTAAAAAAGATCGACCCACTCTATTGAGACAAGAGTAACTTATATAAATATAACTTTATATATTCTTGTGTTTAGAATAAATTTCCCCTCCATCTTGCAGCGCACGAAGTTGGCACCGCGATATTCGACAAAAGACGATTCTGGATTTTAGAATCTTTCATTTAAGATAAAAATATTCCTTTCTCTATAATAAATATGATTGGCACGATATCGGCCCTATTTTATCATACATTGAAGTGTAATAGCATTGTAACCGGCAATTTTTTCCGTAGGTGCGGTAATGGTTTTTTTTTTACAAGTGCAAAGTAACAGGTTTAGGATGTTTAGAGGTACTTCTAAAAAGCCGTAACAGTTGGCTCTTTGTCCCGAGGATATGCGCGCGCGAGTCGGGGGAAACAAAGGATACAGCCCGAATCCAATAGTCCTCCCGTCCTGCAGTGCGCACGGCACGATTACGCCGGTATCTTGTGAAATCAACAAGATTATCCATTGACGGAAATCGCACCATCTGCGCATTGTTCACGCTTGCTGATCAGCAAGCGTACACGATGTCCAAGCAGCAGACTCTCCCGACATTCGCGATAATCCCCTCCCCCCGACATTAGAACGTAACACAAGGAGCGTTATTCGCGTCACGATGCTCGATTCTTTTCCCGATATTTCATCGGCCGACCATTAATTACGGCCCCCTCTCGCCGTCATCAATCACCGCGGTCGTTAATTACGCTGTAAAGCTCGGAATAGTTGTACAAAGAATTTTAGAAGATCCACACTTTTCACGCTACTTAATATTGCGCAAGCGGATTTTACGAATTCATCACCACCCTCTTTAGCACAGAGCGCGCGTCATAACGTGAATGCAAAGCGCGCTCTTCCGCAAACAAACAGCACTTGGAAGGTTCTCCCGCGATGATGTGTACGACTATTCACGGGGCGATCTAAACGCCCGTTTAATAATTAAAATCCGCTCGATCGATCGTCCGCGCTAATCGGTGCGCCGCGAGCGACGACCTGATTTGCATTCTAGCCCTCCGTCGCCGTCGGTGTTCCGCATAGTCTGCCGCGGACAATGCTCTCGCAACAAGTGTGCGTCTGTCTAAAAAATCCGATTAGAGATAGATAGGTGGGGTGCAAGGGGGGGGGAGGACGGGGGCTGTAATGCGGCCCGATCGAAATGCGCCGCGGCGCGTAGTGTATGCGGAACGGTTGTCGGTCATATAATCGTCACGGCCCGAAATTTTGCGGACTGACCAGCCCGCGGCGAGCCGCCGTAACCGAATTTTCGCGGCTCTCTCCCGCCCCGTCGTTTCGCGCCCGTACCTTCCGCCTCATCGATATTCTATTAATATTTCAATATTCCCGGCCAGCTGCTTCAGACACGAGACAATATCCACGGCAAGTAGATGCATCTGTCGGTCCGTGACGCGGCGGCGCCGCGAGTACGCCGGCGAGACACGTCCGTCGCGTGCAATAACGTAAAGATGGCCCGGCGTTTTACGGCGGCACGTTTCTGCCGATCGCCTTGTGCGAAGCGACCGAAAGCTACGCTCTGATTTCGACGGTACTCCGGGGGGGGGAACAAAAAGACAGTTAGCTGACCGTTTTTTTTCTGTAGTTAAGCAACTTAAGATTTCGGTTAGTGCCTCTTAAGTGAAAATTACCTTTGCGTTACTGAATATCGACAGAACTAATTGAGAGAATTGATTAGTGTTACTTAAAAATCTCGGGCACTCTGGGTAAACTTCGTAAAAGATTAGACTTACGAACAATCAAGATAATTCGATTGCTAATTGTGGGCCCCAAAATGGGTTGCTAACTGTCTTTTTTTTCCCAGAGTAGAACCCACCTGGAAAAGCGCACCGATCGCTAATCATCGAAGCACAAACTCTTTTCCGCATTCCGCGCGTCAGCGGAAACCCATTCGTGATCAATCGTTGAACTTGAAGCGTTGATCCCACCCGTGTGTTTAACGTACGGAATAATCATGGGGGGTTTTTCTTTTTTTTTTTTTAATGAGAATAGCTCACGTCGCTTCTATTTTAGCTTCCGGCTAGACAGTAATCAAGACGCCTTTTTTAATCCCTATTCCGCGTTCTTTTTTCGCGCGCAATCGACGAATCAATACTCGAGAATAGAATCTTCGGCGTTGACACGCGCGGAAAAAAGGAATCGGTTTGAAATTGGACATAGCCATCTCCAGTTTCATGGACGTACAGCTGGATAGGAGCGAAAGCGCGGTTTTTTTTTCGCATTGCACATTTTTTCCCTTACCGCGCAAATGGAAATCAGTACGGCTTCAGAACGGTCTCCTATTCTTGGATCTCGAAAACTGAAAGACGTCTCGCCTGGCGCGATCTTTTCGCGCGCAGACGGAAACCAACGTGAGCACAGAATGGTGTTCTTCGGTGTGTGTGCGCGCGTGAAAAATGTAGGAAATTTCTTCGCAGACGAGAGAGAGGCTGCTGCCTCTCCGCTCGCGATGTTGCCCACGATTTTCGTGGCTGCGCCTTTTTTTTCCCTCCCCTAGGCGTCACGAGACGCTCGAAGGCGAATCGGCATTTTCGTATAACTTTATTACGTTTATTACAAACTCCGCTAACTGCATAATAGTTTCGGTGGAATATAAACGCAATTGGAATACTCTAAAATTGAAAAGCCAATCATGATGCACAACTTTGCCTTACTGCAACAATGACAATCGATCCAATTAAAACTTAAGTACAATTCTAATTTCGAGTTGAAGCGACGTAATTAAAGTTTATACATTATGCCGCGCATTCTCGCTGCCCATAACGTGCAGCATGCAAATTGCACGTTTGCTATTACACTCTATTATTATAAATACCTGTTTCCCAACGCACCAATTTGCACCGTGGATTCGATTCGTCGGACGTAACTTTCTCCCGCAGCCGGCTTACACTGAAACAAGAAATATCTCATGTAGTGTATTTCATAAATATCAATGTCGTGCGTAAATCCGACCTTTAAGAAACGCAGTTTGACTCGAGGAGTCTTTCTTTGCAAAGCTTGTACACTTTCTTAAACCTCTATTCAACTCCCTTGTATTTCAATACAATATGTAGTTTTATTCGTTCTACTACTTAAGGATCAAGATCGAATGAATGTACTCTGAATGACTGCAAACACTTCATTCCACTGAAGCGTTCTGCTTCATAATGCTGCTGCCTATTCGGTACTAACGAAGCGTAAGCTGCCGAATGAACTAGTTCCATTGAGATACTTGAAAAGTGATAATACAACTGGAATTGACCGAGTTACTCGCTCGCTAACGATCGCACAGCTTTAATGTATGTAAGAAGCATCTCGACTCGCTCGAGAACTGACAATTATGGAATCTTACGTCTCGTTAATCCATTATGAAAACAAACGTTATGCGCGGGAAGCAACCTTTCGTTACGATTTCAATCGTATCTATTACGCCGCGTCTTCTCCGAAGTGCGTTGGAACGATAGCGTTGAAACACTGGCATATATATCCCGCAAAGATGTTGTTCGAGGCCAGATGTAAGCGTCTCACAATCGCGGGAATACATTTAGTTAAGATACTTAGCTAATCAGTAGATAGGTAAATCCGCTAATACCCATGTACATTCCCAAACGAAGCCGGGAACCATATCGGTTAGAACTTAAGCCACTCGCTACGCCAAGTTATTATCACTCGGAGATACGCGATGCATGGATTGGCCGTAACAGAGCAACGATAAGGGAGCGTTTGCATTTCGCGGGCGTACCATGTTGCATAATTACCCGCGAGAGTAATCGCAATCAACGCCTCTCGTACACGCTCGCCGCTACAACACATTGCGATCGGCATTACAGTTCAACAACTTGGCTCTCGCGTTTCTCTATTGTCTTACAGTCCCTAATGCATCCTCTCTCTCTCTCTCTCTCTTTCTCCCGCGTCGCCTCTCAAAGATACATACTAGTTTCGCGCTGGTAGATAAGGACCGCGTAACGTGAAATCGCTCGCGTGGACAATGAATCGCGGGCAATCATCGTCCGGGCGATTATCGCGGTAAGTAAATTACACGAGGATGAGTATCGCGAGGCAACGATCGAAAGTGCGGTCGATGCCGCATCGAGTACCTCCTCGGCATCCCCAGCTGAGTAGATGGGCTAATTAGACGATTGAACGTTACTCGAGAAGCAAAAGCGCTTCTAACGAGCGACGTTGACCGCGATACCTCGATTGCGGAAACGCGGAGCGATCGGCGCACGCTAACGAGACCATTTTCGAGAAGTATTTGCACTACTGAAACCAATCGTTGACCGGATTATTAACGAGCAAGATAACGACGTTGCCGGCAAATCGACGACGAATGACGACCACGAAAACTTTCCAGATCAACTCGGTGAATAATATTTTACGTTATTAAAGTTCAGTATATATCATCCCTACAATGTATTCCCAATATTACCCTCCCACCCGCACAAATGATTAATAGAATAAATTTGAAAAAAAAAGATTTACCAAGAAACTTATTGGAGATTCGTGCGGAATTACAGAACAGATTCACCCTCGAGACAAGTTCAAGTCTCAAAAGTGAACGGGCAGGTTTGGGGATCGAAGCACCGCCCTTGGCGATGGTAGGATCGAAAGAAAGTGAAAGACTTTACGCTGCGATAGAAAAATACTTTTAGCGCGATTAAAAGAAGAAATTTGAAAAAAAAAGATTTACCAAGAAACTTGTTGGAGATCAAATTCGTGCGAATTTACAGAACAGATTCACCCTCGAGACAAGTCCAAGTCTGAAAAGTGAACGGGCAGGTGTGGGGATCGAAAAAAAGGGAAAGATTTTACGCTGCGATAGAAGAATAATTTTAGGGCGATTAAAAGAATAAATTTGAAAAAGCACGATTTACTTATTGATCAAATTCGTGCGAAATTACAGAACAGGATCAGCCCCGAGACAAGTCCAAGTCGCGAAAGTGAACGGGCAGGTTTGGGGATCGAAGCATCGCCCTTGGTGACGGTAGTAATGAGTGTCGCGTGGCGAAAGGGTGCTGGTACGCTGGCCTTTTCGGGCCTCCGGAGTGCCGTTGTTAATGGAGAACGAAATAAATTTCGGAGCGCGGCACGGCTTATTATAATCCTCGCTGTATATACGGTATGCCTACTCCGCCTCACCCCGCCGCGTCGTCTCACCCCCGGCGTACTTTCACCTTTCCATTCCCCTGCGCCGCGTGACACGGCGGATTACCGTACGGTATGTCGAGGTCGTCGAATTATTCCACGGTCGACGGCGCTCTTTTTAAGTCCGACAGAAATGCTACCTTCTCACGCATGAGAAAATACGCGCCACTTTAAACGCACTCTTGCGCGATGTAACGAAATTATTTTCTATCCTCCCGTGGAAATCAAACAAGTGCGCGGACGAGCGACACCGAAAATGACTTTCGTTGTTAGGGATCGTCGCGTTGCAGCGACCGTCAATCGTTTAGAATTTAGTTACGATACAAGATTGGTTAAATGATAGAAATTAATGAAGCGAAACTACGATATAGAGAGCAAGGGCGCGCAAGAGAGATATGGACTGGGGTCGCGCGATTTTCGAGTCAAACATATTTTCTTAAGATCAATAGCTCCACCCCTTCTGTCCTGTACAAGAAAATGTACTGCGCTCCAATCCATTAATTTAGATCCTACTCGTGACCGCAGACGAGATCGTGCGGTTGCACCAAGAGTCATGGCTCGAGTCGGAAACTCGAACGTCGAACAAAGTTGCTCGCGAGAGACCGCAATACTCTTCTCGCCGTGCCGTTCCGATACAATATTTACTCGGAGCTGGTCCAAAAGCGATTTCACGAAATAGTTGCATATTTTAGACGCGAAAACAGAACGTATGTGATTTACACGGCCCACCCCGTCACAATGAAGATTTATATACCGCGTGCATAACCGGGATTCAATCTCCTCGTAAATGTAAGTAATCGCCGAGTAATAAAAGATTTGATTTCTCTCGTCCGTTCGTACGATGGATCTCCTCCTTACTTCCCATTCTATCAGCGCGCGTATCGAGAAATTGATTGTCAAAAGCGCCGAAAGTAATTTGCAGTATTCAAATCTAGCGACATATATCCTATAACGGTTATTATCAGTTTAATTGATCATTAAATCGAATTAACACCGACATAATATCTTCAACATATTTATTGACACGTTAAATCTAGCGATTTCGATGTCTCACCGCGGGGATGATTCTGGCACTTGCAGCAAGATTTGCAAGCGTCTAATCTGTGCGTTTTCGATTAATGTTTCATTAAGTTCTGTTGATCTTCCGTCGGTAGCTTCGGAGCCACGGCGCCGAAGCACCTTGTTTCTCTTGAAAGATCGTCATTCCGACGTTCTACTCCGCGATTCTCTCCGAGTGTTTATGTAAGGGGGCGAAGTCGAAGGGAGATGCGGGATCGAAGATGGCTGAGCGGCGTGTCGAGGTGCTTTAAGCCGGCAGCTTGGCGTGAAATTCCAAGTCGAGAAATCCTCCCGCAGATGCGAACCCGAGATCATGGAATTAACCGATATGTCGCTGGCGCGAACGAATTTAACGCATTTCATTCACTTTCTAGATTTCTTTTTCCTTAGCAACGAAATCGATTATCAATTTATCGCTCTCAGTCTTCTTAACATTCTTCATATAAATATTTTTCAATACTCATAAAAAAATATTTCATGCACTGAGAAAAATGTCCGATTAAATATGATCGGGTAATCCAGTTAGAAAATAACAAACGGATATGTCCGATGAAATGTGTGATCGGTTTATCAATCAAATTTTATCGGATAAAATAATCGGAAAGATTAATCATCGGAAGCGCTATTTAATTGGTTCATCCCATGAAAACTTTTCTCAGTGTGCGTAATACAAAAGTGTCCATACACACCGTTTAGACAAAATAATATTCACGCTAAAGAAACATAAAAGAGACCTTCAAGGAATTACGGAGATGGCGAGAAAAAAAGTACCCGCCGCGTCATAATAGACATAAAATTTGCACGTGCCGTTACCATAGAGTTTGACTTCTCCGTATAAGCTGCACAGAATGTGTATGCCCAATTTCCATTATAGAGTCGAGAGAGTGCCGGGGAGCGAGAAGCCGCGCGCGCCCCGCGAGGCGTCGCGTCGGACGATCCGGGAGATGCGGAGGTAAGAGCAAGATGGTCTCGAACCGCAGGTGCAACCGTTCGGTGCTCGAACGCCGCGCACGACGCGCGTGAACACGTAGCCCTCCTTTCGTTTCCTCCCCCCCCCCCTGCCTCGGGCAGCGCCGAATCCCACGGGATAAAACCAAGCCCGGGCCGTGTTCTCTTCCCTCCTTTATACGCGGTCGCGGCGAGCGGTTCCTCCGCTCCGTCTGGACCGGTCCGTTTATCCCGCCGAACTTTCAGCCCCGCCGAGTCTATGGGCGTCGGACCAGTTTCCCCCAACCCCAGGACCCCACTCTCTCCCTCTCTCTCTCTCTGTCTTACCACCGGGCGCCTGGTGGTTCCCGACCACCACTTGGAGCAGACACCCTCGGCATCCACGACCGAACGCCCGGGGCTCCGGGTTTCCTGAATATTTTATTTACTCGCCACCCCGCTTCTTCCTCTTCGCCTCGCGCCGCCTTTCTCTCTATCTCTTCATCTTGCATGCTCCTTTTTCGCGTCTCGGCTCCGCCTGAGCATCGACGCGCTTCTTTTGGCTCCAGCACTAACTTTCTCCTCTTTCGATCACTGCGCCCCTTTTTACCCTTCGTCGCCCTATCGTACGCCCGCTATTGTCTACCTTTTTATCCATAATCGCGTGAATTTATCTTGATTAGAAGGTCTCTCAACACAACAGCGACCGCCCGGTATCTCTCTACCAGTTTCCTTCGTGCAGCCGCAAATACGCATACACGCGTGTGCACACACAACGT